CTGATATGCCTCCTCGACTAGTAAAGCCTTTGCCTTCTGCCTCTCGGAATATTTCCATGTTGGCATTATTCCTCTCTTACCCTTGTAGTTCAGTGGGAGTCTTCTTGGCCTCTTGGGATCCGTAGCTCTATCACCTTCATCAATGAATAGTTTCTCTTCCGCGAGGACGTTCTCTCCCTTGTCCTTAGGTGCAACACGGTAGAACTTATCCTCCGAGATTTTCTCCACTTCATCCTCAAGATTTCCTTCATAGTCGCTGTCATCGATTATCTCACTAAGTGCCATAAGTTGTTCAACGGTCATATCGTTCATGTCAAAGTTGTTCGCCATTTTTCACTCTTTCTCTATATACTATAGGTAAAAAAAATAGCCCCAATTAAGGGGCTATTTAATTCATTAATTTATTTAACATTTAATTTAATAATTTAATATTTTATTTAATTTAATAATTTAATATTTTATTTAATTTAATAATTTAATGTTTTATGTAATTTAATAATTTTATATTTTGTTTAATTTTATAATTTTATATTTTATTTAATTTATAATTTATTCTTTAATTTCCAGTTATTATAATATTTACAATTTATAGGTTTCCATCCCAACTCGGGGAAGACTTTACTATATAACCTATTCTCAAGGATGTCCACAATTCTTTTGGTCTTAATGTCCTCAGGAGGGTTTCTCAGCGTGATGTTGTTCATGCTGGCTATCCTCAGTAGGTAAAACTTATATCTAACTATGTTGCGCCCCCGTTGCAGTCTAAGTCTTTGTATACATCTTACGATGCTTCTAAACTGCTCCCGTATGGTATCCCTATCCCCAGAAGCAACATGCTCGAATAAGTGTCTCTCAAACCAACGGACTCTATTATGACAAGACTTCTTTTTCAGGTAGTCGTCCTTGTTGTGGTTGTAACTAACATAGTATGTAAAGCCATTCCTGTCACTTGTACCACATTGTGTGCATACATCTGCTCCATCTATTACTACAATAGACTTACTACCACATTCAACACATTCCGGTTCGTGTGTATGTACAACCTTCATTTTACCTCTCACGTATTTCATTACTGCGGCCTCCAGCTCCTCAATGTTTTTTGCTCTCCTACCGACTCTTTCCATTTCATCAGGTGTTACCAGTGTCAGCCAGTCCATTCCCTATACTATATGTGTTAAAATATTCTGCTTGTTTTTGTTGTCTGTTTTTACGTCTCCTTATTATTCTCAGTTCTACATATTTTTTAACCGCGGCCTCCAACTCCTCTATAGTGTCTACCCTTTTACCAAGGGCTATTACCTCGTCAACGTCTACCATTGCAAGCCAGTCCATTTCTCTACAATATATGTGTAAAAATTTATTGCCGTATTAAATTAATATTTTACAGTATTAAATAAGCTGCCCCTCCAACCACCCCACCCATAATTAAACCAAATATTGCCATATATTCTTCCATCTCTGAGCTAGGTTTGTAGTGGTTACTTAGTTGCGGCTTTCTTAGCATAGCTGTACGTGTTAGCTCGTTGATTCTCCTGATGAGTTCCAATGCCTTATTTGTTGCGTTAATATTCCTGTTCGCCTCACCCAGTTCGGCCTTAAGTTGCGCAAGTCTGTTTCTTCTATCGGTGACTTCTTCAAGGTACTTCTCTCTTTCAGCTGTTAGGTTCTCCATTGCAATATTGTGTCTGTGGGCTTCCTCAGCGTATCCATTCTTGTCAAACATTTTAAATAGGTATCCTGCTCCAGCAAATGCGAATGCGTTAAATAGTCCTCCTGCTACTGCTCCCGCCATTGTATAGTTTTACCTAGGTTTTGAATGGATCATCTGGTATATACTTTTTTTCTTTCAGGTAAGAGATTAGTAGAGATGAGAGGCTAACTGAGACAGCTAGCTTTGCCATTCCTCTTACATTCTCTGGGGTGCATAATGGTTCTTTTAATAGTTTCTTCGATGCCATTGATATACCAACTGCTCCTGCTGTGAGTAACACTGCATTGTACACTTCCGCGGTCATCTTTGATTCTTTACTCATCTTGCTATAATATATATTATGTTTAACGTATCATTCAAGTGAATCTAACTTGGGCGCATCAGGTTTCCTGGTTACTTCTACAGTCTCAGGGATGTACTTAGGTTCTGGTTTCTTTGTTTCCCTCTGATGCTGATTAAATGCTAGGGCAAGGGATGTCAATGCGATGGCCACTCCTACATATGTGATTATGTTGTTGTTGGATGACTCCTTAGGTTCTGTAAGTTTCTTTTTCCTCTCCCTTGCAGCTTTACTTAGGATCGCTAGCCTTTTTCCGGCCTCTACCCTCTTAGGGTCCTTCTTCTTTTCACTTGTAATGGGAACTTCCTTCGTAGTAGGTTCGTCGGCCATTCTATATAGGTACCATATGTTTAACTATGTAGATGTCTATGTAGATGTCTATGTAGATGTCTATGTAGATGTCTATGTAGATGTCTATGTAGATGTCTATGTAGATGTCTATGTAGATGTCTACATAGTTAAACATATGGTACCGACTACGTCAGTAGTCGCTGCTAGCGCAGCTAGTACTTATCTGAACTGAACCTTAGCCTGTAAGTCTTCGCATCACTAGCGGTAATTTTCACTGCAACTTTCCTCACAGTTTTCTTAAGTGAAAAGTACTCGTTAATTCTAATACAAGTTTTTATTAAGTCGTCGGATATCATTACCATATACCCTATTTTCATAAGCTTACGAAGCCATACTACCTGCTTCTCGTTTGCAGTCCCAGTGCCCTTAGGAGACTTGAATTCAATGGCAAATCCTTTGTACTTCCCCATAGGATTCTCTATAATAAGATCTGGCTGGCCACCCTTGTATCCCTTCTTCCAGGCGTCACATCTCTTTGACACAGTATCCTGGTACTCACCTAGACCAGGTATTATTACAGCCTCTGGGTAGTTATCTCTAATGTAACTCACAACTGTATGATGAAGGTCCGTTTCATTTATAAGGATTATTTGGTTATATCCGAGTGACCTTCTATCTGGTAATTTGTACGAGCCCGTCTTGCGGATAGATGGAAGGACTTCCCTAAATACCCAGTCCTGGAAGTCCTCTGCTATTGGAAGTCTTGAGCTACATATTAGCTGGTACAAACCAGGTTCGTAAAGTAAGATTGTCTGTGGGTGACATTTATGTAAGAGGGGCGAATCGCCCCTCTTGCTTAACTCATATACACTCACCTTATTTTGTTTCCTAACTAATTTCTGGACTGCCTTTTTTGGGTCAGCGTACCCTAGAGATTCTGCCACATCTTTTGCATAAAACAGTACATCCTCACCACTCTCTACAGCTCTCACACTAACATTCAACTTCTGGTTCCTGAATAGTTTTTCCATCTTTCTCTATATTATATATGTAAAAATTTTTATGGCTATTTTATGTACCATTTAAATCTAATTTATGAAGCAGCATTCCCTCTACCCACCCAGCTGCTTACTATAACTATGTACATCCTACAGCAAATAAAATATTACATTTCATGTAGCTTCTTGTATATCTTTACAACTGTTTCAGTTGCGTCAGCTTTAAATGTCTGGAAATCATACTGAAGTGGTTCTATGACCTTATCCTTGAGCGCGTATAAGTCCATCTCTAATGAGTCAAGGGTTTTTTGAATCACATCTAGACTTTCCCTATTCCTATCAGTTTTTTCAATCAACTCAGTAATTATATCTTCAAACTCTGTTCCTTCCCAAGCGTTTTCCCATTCGTATCCTGACATTCTTCTTCTTCTGTATTTAATAAGATATGTTTTGCTTCCTCTGATATCTCCTCAGGCTTCTCCTTCCTATTCCACTTGTGAGCAACGACATGCTTAGCTGTTGTACAACCACCTGATATTAAACCTATGAACGGAATGTTGGGGGATATCGTCCTTGTTAGATATGATACGTCATCCTTTAGAAGTTTATCACTAAGTAGTTCCTCTGATAGCTTTTCTGATGATTCCACTGCACCGAAACTTCCTAATACAGAAGCAAACTTTGAGATAATAAGAGTTGATAAGAAGTCACTTGCGCATGACATCCTCTGACTTTCATACTCATGATAGAGTCTATCCACAACATCCTTGTTGGACTTTCTTATAAAACTTGCGGACTTCTCTATTACACCGTCCCTGGATAGCTCTATAAGCTTGTCTCTTTTACTTTCAGTTTGCGACTTATCTGCGGTTTTTCTTGCGGTAGACTTAGCTTTCTTTTGCGGTGCCTTTGCGGCCTCTTCTACTTCCCTCACAGCTGCAGATATTTCTTCATCAGATTCAGATCCCATCTTTTATATTCTACGTGATGTTTTGTTTGATAGTGTATGTGTAAGGGTGTATAAGTAGTATATCCAGTGCGGTGAACTTCTCATCTTTTAGTACCTGTGTTATCTCTGTAATTGTCTCCTGAGGAACACCACTTAGGTAATCATCTGTTATGACCTTCATATCCCTGCGACTAGGGTTGTAGAATGTAACTAACCTGGAAATGTTCTCCCTGAATGGTTTCGCTACTGAGGACAGTTGTTGGGTAATTACAATGACGGATAAGTTGTAATGTCTTGCGGAGAAAGCTAGGCGCACCAGTTCTGAGACTCTTTTCTTTACATCTTGACTTGCTGCACAATCGTCCACTATAATGAGAGTTTGAGTTCCACGAAATATGGTGGACACTGCCTTCAGAACTAAATTGATCATTTCTTGCGAACATGGAATTTGTATGACTCCGTGATCACTAATATGAGTCCAATTAATGTAAGTCATATTCCATTCTATTGTTGGACATATAATCACAATGTAATCAAAAACTTTATTGTATTCCGTTTCTAACATATTTAGTAAGAACTGAGTTTTACCACTTCCTGTCATTCCTACTATAAGCATGTTGAATGGTGGTTCAAGTTGCATCTCTATGCTTTACCGTTAGTACTAGCTCAGTTAGTATTGAATACTTGATAAATCTCTATTGGCAAAGTTAAGGAGGGCATCTGATACAATAAAAATATTGCATTGAACGTCAGCTGTTGTGGCTCTCTTTTTGATTTCCATGAGCACGCCTGACTGTGTGTTAACAATTCTCCTTCCTCCACCAGTGGTATCATCCTGTGTTGACCTAAGATCAATTACTAGAGCGAAACCATTGCTGAAGAACTTACTGATGGACATAAATTCATCTGCCATGGATTTCTCACACATAGGGCAGAAAAATCGTTTTGCCTCTTCGAAGAACCTATTTTTAGGAAGTCCTTGGGAGAAGACTGCATTAGGAACACCTTCAATGGTCAGGTTCACTTTATCAATGTTTGGGTAAATATATTCTTCAGAATCAGTCCTCACTCTATTGGTAAATAGAAGGACAATTGCTGACATGCTCTTTCTGGGTATATTAATGTTTTCATTGACAATGGTAAGATCCTTGTCCCAATTACTCGTGCGCATAAGAGTGACGTGTTTGTAGGACAGTGAGCGACCTGTTGAATACATCCTTGATACTTCACTCGCAAGGGCGTCATTCTCAATGGTCTCGTATTCTAACTCAAGATTGTCCAGTTTATAATTACCCTTAGCTTCACCTCCTTGAGCAGTCATAATCTCATCTGATTGCGGGAGTGTGAGGATGTACATAGGATTGTTATTCATGGAGAACGGTGTGTAGAGCCCATGGTCTGCAATTATTTTATCAATTGGTTTTCTCAGCTTAGAACCGTACACACTGTGGAGAAGTCCATCTGCTACTTTATTGGCATCACCTACCTTTACACCTGAGTCATCACCTGATATTAACTTCCTAAGATTCTCACTTGCAAGACCCTGTTCTGTCATCTTCTTTCTGTCACCTAGTGTTAGCCATAGATCTTTGTATATTTCGTACAAACTCTCTCCTGAACAGTCATAAGCTGTTTCACCTGCTACTTTGATCTGAAGACGTTTAGCTATCAACTTAGACAGGTTATTATTAAAGTGGCTTTTTGTATTGGAATTTTTGAAGTCAAATAATAGTGCAAGTGATCCTGGAACTAGACAAGAGTCAGGCTTTAGTTTAGGTATGTTAATGTACAGCTCTTCACCTGGGCTAATAGTTGTTGGATTGAATGTTGTAACATTTAGGCTCCTAGGTCCCCTTATAGATGTCATGTGGCTCCTCCTGAAGCCAGGCTGTAGTTCTCTTTCTGTGGTATTCATACTTGTATACAATATGTAATGTTTAGCTATATGTGTATAATAAAACTGCTGCTGCACATATAATGATTATCCATATATTATCCGCTGCTAACTCTACTCCATCGGCTATCTTCTGGAATACAGGTGGTAGTTTTATTTGATTGTTTACCAACTCACTGATCCGCTTATCGAGTTTTCCTGTTGTGTCACCTACTTTCCATAATATGTTTCTAGTTGATGCTACCAGTCCTATGATTACAGCTGATGATGAAATTAGAACAGCTGATAAGATGCCTGCATTCTCCCTTGCCCATAACCTGAGCCTCTGCAGTCTCCTACGATCATCCCGTTTAATGAGATCCCTCTTTTTCACCTTATCTCTTAAGTTGAGAAGTTTATTTAAGTTTGACTCTCTTTGGTAATCATTTGATAGCATTCTAACGTACCTCAGTTCTTCCGACTTTTCCTTGAAACTGTTTTCATCCAAATCGGATAGTATTAATTCATTTAACAGTCTGTCTCCCCTATCCATTAGATCATCGTATGACAGATTAGATAGGTCAGGGAATTTCTCAGCTAATTGCTCTCGCGGAAGGTCTTCACTCAACATTTTTCTCCTCCTCAGTTCCTGTACGTAATTAATTTCCTCGTTAATATCCTGGGTCTCCTCAGTAGTTTCGCTTTCCCTAAGATCCTTGTCAAGGTACGGTAATTCGCTATCTAAAGTTTCTATATCCATTTCTTCATAGTCTGGATACTTTTCCTTCAACTCCTCCATTCTCTGGTCATCGTATTCCTCTTGGTGTTCCTCCATAGCTAATTTACTTTGTGTAATAGTTGTATACCATTAAGGCTGCAGCTATAGCTAGTACCCATAAGTGTGACGCTAACCAGGCAATTCCTTTGGCTCCCCATGATAGCGCTGTTGCAATGGTGTTCAGGATTGGAACTAGAATTGGCCCTGCTTTCTTTGCTAAATTTGCTAATGCTTTTGCTACTTTACCAGTGACCTTTGCTGTCTTCACAATGGCTCCCCTAGCATGGATTAATAAGGCTGTAATTAAACTAGCTGTTGACACTGCTATTTCAGCTAGTCCAACCTTTTCCTTTCCCACCCAGTCTATAAATCTACGTAATCTAGAAATATCTTCCAACTGTGCCTCTCTTGCTTCCTCTACTACTCTCTGCTCTAGTGTCC